TCGTTAAAGATATACCTCCTTTGCCTGATAGTCCAATGTAATATTTGTTAAAGTTAAATGATGAAATGCAACCAATGTATCTCTGATTTTCTATTTTATATTATACAGTCAAAAGTCGTTAATTTGGACACCCTTAATCCGGAATAATCTATAATCCGGACCTCAAAGCTGCGCATGCGCCGCATTGACACATGCACATAGGCGTTTACGCATGCACGTAAGACCTTTACGGCTGCGCATATGCGTGTGCGCAAATGCAGAATACGTTTTCGCGTGTGCGTTTAACGTATAACAGACAGTATGAGCTAAAATTATCTAATTATCTATTTCAGTTAATATTGATGATTGCGTTGTACCTTAATCTTCGAATTGGATCTGGCTTATTATTTTTTGCAGACTGTAAGAGCAATTTTATAAAAGTAAGCTTGAACTTTTGATTATGTCAAAAAGAGTTTCCGATGCTAGAGCTGCCAAAGGATCTACAAAGTGAAAGCATGTTTCGATGTCCAACAAACAAAAAGTGGAATTGCTGCAAAAAATGTATAAAGGCATGAAGAAAGTGACAGAGAGGTTAGTGAAAACGAAAAATTTCAATTGACAAGTTAGTCGGTATTCTCGGCACAGCAATTAACAGGACTTGAACAGCGGAACTTTGTAACTGAACAAGAAATTATGTCTGTTTATAGAATTAAAGAGAAAGTATTATCACATAAAACGAAGCAACTTAAACAACTTACGTTGAAAGAAATGTTTAATAAAGTAAACAAATAAATATTAAGCTTTTTTTTTTGTAAATTTTGATACCCTTTAGATCATAATTGTTCTTTATTTCATAAATTACGGTTTCATATTTTTAATTTTAGAATTTCAGCATGCCATCTTACGAGATTTAAACTGATGATCTGTAATCCGGAATCGTCGAAGTACCGATGAGTTCGGATTAACGACTTTTGACTGTAATAACAAAATTATCGAAAAATGCAGATTTAAAGCTCTGTTATTGTTATGCAAAGCTTTATTATTGCTGTAAGTTCATCTCAAAATCTAATTGTATTGAATCTCATTCTAACCATCTAATAGTAATAAATATTATTAATGAATTTATTAATATTTCATTAAATTCCATCATTTTGTTAATGAAAATATGGTATTAAAAATCACATTCCAACCTGCAGACTTACAAAGCTAATTCGTATTTATTATACAGTAAAACGTTGTTAATCCGGACTTGTCTGGACTTCGACGATTCCGGATTATCGATTTTTCCGTATTATAGATCATCAGTTTAAATCTCGTAAGACGGCATGCTGAAATTCTAAAATTAAAAATATGAAACCGTAATTTTTGAAATAAAGAACAATTATGATCTAAAGGGTATCAAAATTTACAAAAAAAAAGCTTAATATTTATTTGTTTACTTTATTAAACATTTCTTTCAACGTAAGTTGTTTAAGTTGCTTCGTTTTATGTGATAATACTTTCTCTTTAATTCTATAAACAGACATAATTTCTTGTTCGGTTACAAAGTTCCACTGTTCAAGTACCGTAATTGCTGTGCCGAGAATACCGACTAACTTGTCAATCGAAATTTTTTCATTTTCACTAACCTCTCTGTCACCTTCTTCATGTCTTTATCCATTTTTTGCAGCAATTCCACTTTTTGTTTGATGGACATCGAAACATACTTTTGTTTTGTAGATCCTTTGGGAGCTCCAGCATCGGAAATTCTATTTGACATAATCGAAAGTTTAAGTTTACTTTTATAAAATTGCTCTTACAGTCTGCAAAAAATAATAAGCCGGATCCAATTCAAAGATTAAGGTACAACGCAATCATCAACATTAACTGAAATAGATAATTAGATAATTTTAGCTTATACTGTCCGTTATACATTAAACGCGCATGCAAAAACGTATTCTGCATTTGTGCACACGCATATGCGCAGTCGTAAAGGTCTTACGCGCACGCATAGACGCCTATGCGCATGTGTCAATGCGGCGCATGTACAGAAAGTTTTTAGCTTTGAGGTCCGGATTATAGATCATTCCGGATTAAGGGTGTCCGAATTAACGACTTTTGACTGTATTTGTAAAATTTTGTTTAAGTTTTCTAATTTCTAATACAAAAATGTGCGAATATAAATGAAGTGTGAAAACAAAGTTATAAAATTCCCAAATTATTCCAGAGATTGATCAGAAATAGTAAATGAAATATAAACATTGCATACATTTTGTTGTAAATATTTATTTAGAACTTCATTTAAAAGAAAGCAAAATAATCATAAAAAAAATTGCAAATCTAGCAACCCCTGTACTATGGAGCAGCGTCCGACAAACATGTAAATTTTACTGCATCCATGGAGGGGACTAACGACTTTTCTCATTAGGAAAATGTTACAGAGGGGGCAAAAGTGTTTTGGATCGTGCTGGTCTGAAGGCTATATTATGAGAATTTCAGCCCACTTTTAGAAGGTTAAAAACATTGTAAAAATAAACATCAACGAATTTTCTCAGTTTTAGACAATTCAATTTAAATGAAGTTAAAGTAAAGTAGCAAACGATAACACGGCGAAGGTAAAAATTTACTCTTAGAAATAATTAAAAAAGAAAAAGGAAGAAAGAATGAAATTAAAAGAAAGTTAAAAATCTAAATAATATCATCTGTAATTTAAAAAAATAGCTTTTCATATAGTATTAATAAATATTTATTAGGCATCATCGAGGGGAAAATTTCATATAATTAGTTCTCCATAAAAAATTAATTTGAAATTTAAGGTTAAAAATAGCTGTGACAAATCACTGTTACAAAATTCATAAACCATATTTGGCGTTATTATCGCTAAAAAAAAGATGCCAAATTTCAAAGTGTAAAAGTATGTAAATTCGTGTATATCTTAAAAAATTTTGAATAAAAAACTCTGATTTTTTGCATGGATACTTAGAAATACCTCTACTTTAAGATGATGGTAAAAATTTTATAGGTTATAATTCAAAATTTTTTTCGAAATATTTATAAAATTTATTTAAAAATACAAATTTAAAAAATAAATCATAAAAAATGGGTAAATTTTATTTGGAATGAACTTAAATTTTGAAATGAGGAAGAGTCAAAAAAGTTTAATCAAAAAAGAGATATCAATAAATATATGCCAAATTCAATTAACATTGAGGAGCTAAAATTTTGAGAGCTAGTTTTTTTAAAAACTTCTCGTTTGATTTTTACAAAACATGGCAGTCTGGCATAGTTTGAGTCGTAGAATCAAAATATGGAAAAAAATTGGTATGTTATTTCATACCAAAAGCCCAATTTAAAGTTATAAAAAGTCCGATTTTGTGTATAAATTCAGTAAAGGCATAAAGTAAGTGAATATGTCAGAACAAAATTTGTCTTGGCTCTCTTATTAATCGACCAAGTATGGAGTTTCATAATACAAGTTCTGTTATGAAGGTCCAAACAAGGGAGATTAATTTTTGCAAATTACATACTTCTTTTTTAATTTCTTCATTCAGATCAATGTCTTAGTATCTTAGATTATTGCTTTAATGTATTTCATGTATTAATTTACTTGGGAAAATTCATGTCTTCTTGCTGATGAGTTGGATCTAACATTACTTTTAAGTAAAATTTAAAATTTAGCATACTTTGCGCTAATAATTATTATATATATATAATATATATATATATAATATTAGTAAATAAATTATATAAATATATATATATATATAAATAAATTATAATATATATATAATTATTTACTAAATAAATTGTAGTAGGAATAACTTAATTTGCACTAAATGGATTTAAGATCATACAACATTATATATATATATATGTGTGTGTGTATAAAATATAAAAAATATGATGGCTTTGCTCTACACAAACAGGCAATCTCTAATTAACTTTCTGCAATTTCAGAACTCCCCCCCCCAGAACCAGTACTTTCAAGAAAATTCTGGTATGTTATGTAACCACTAGTATAAATACAGAGTTCATATCATTTTTAGTGAGACTGCTTTCTCCTCCTGCTATCAGACCTTTGCTGCCGCTCTTCCCATCTGTTAAACCCATTAGTTTAAATCACTATTGAATATGTAATTTTGGAGAATTTAATCTAAAGTAAAAATGATCTGCCATTTGAATTGAATAAATATGTGCAATTAAAAGCAAAATTCTTCTGTGTCATCATCTTGCTGTATTCCACTCAGTCAAACAACACCCGGACTCTGATGCCAAGTTTCGTCATTCCTCTGCCTATCTGCAAATCATCACATGGATATACGCACACACATATATACACACATACATACAATATATATATCCAAAGTTTATATTCTAAATAAATAACAATTTATTGAAATTAAATTAATTTTGATTTTTATATTTCATTTTATTAGGGAAGGGGTGCTGAAATATGAAAATTAAATTAATTTTGATTTTTATATTTCATTTAATTAGGGAAGGGGTGCTGAAATATAACTTTACATAACTATGCCTTTGACCATTGGTTGACAGGTGGCGTTGTCTGTATGTGCATGTCTGGCATCAGAATTTAAGGCAATGAAATCTTTAGCACTTTGCTGGTGTTTGTATTTGTTTGCAAGAATTACATGTATTGATGAAAATAGTAATAATAATAATAATAATAATAATAATAATAATAATAAACCGAAAAATGTAAACTAGTTTCAGAAAGTTATAAAAATATCATATATAGTATCTGGCAAGGCAAGGAAAAGATTTACTATACATACAATATAAGTACCATTCTTCATCTTGCAGAAGTTAATTAACTAAAAGAAGTTTTCTAACTTGTTGTTTTTACTATTAGATTTAGTGATGTTTGATTTCTCAGGCATATTCTTGAAATATTTTACCATATACTCCTTTACATTTTGAGAAACATTGATCTAGATAATGTTCATATTATTTACATAATATTTAAGTATATCAATTGCATTTTAACCTCATAAAAACTACATATTTTAAATTTCTTTTAATAGAAGGCATCTGTTAATAGACTACAAAGTGTTTCAACTGGTCATGTAAGTAATAATCATTTTAATGTTTATATTATATTGTATGTTTTTTTTCTTGTCTTGTAATAAAGAATTTGCTTAAAGTTGTAAAATTTTCATCTACAGTATGCCCATAAAAGAATGCCCCAATTATAAATTTTAATTATTTTGTTTTCTTGCTTGCAGTGCCACATAAGCAAAATGGCAACTCCTGAATGTAAAGCGTTTTGTGTTCTGCAGTTTGCTGTGAGTAAATCTGTAATTTCAGTTCAATGTGCATTTGATTTAAAGTTTAATTGTGATCCCCCATATGGCAAAAACATCCACCAATGGTATAGTCATTTTGAAATGACTGGATGTGTTTGTAAAGAAAGTATATGACGACCAAAGCTGTCTGTAGAGGATGTGGACCATGTTAGAGCATCTTACCTTCATAGTCTTAAGAAGTCTGCTAGAAAGTCTTGAACTTCAGTTACCAAAGATGACCAGTTTGGAAGGTTTTGAAGAAAATGTGTACACAAATCTATACCAGTTACAGATGTATATGCTTTAAAGCCAGATGACTGTAGTGTATGTTTTGTGTTTGAGTGGGCAAATGACTTTCTTAATCGTGTGGTGTTCAGTGATGACTCAGCTTTTTATCTGAATGGGAAGGTAAATGCACCATGAATATGTAAAATACCAGAGATTCCCCAAATTAAACATTTTTTGAGATATGACCCGATGTCAAGTGTACAGACTATTTTGTTTTGCTGAAGCTACCATAATAGAGATGGCTTATCTGGATATGTTACAAGAATGGCTCTTTCTCCAATCAGCCCCTCACCATTAGAATCTCTCTGTACAAAAGTGGTTGAAGTCCCTGACCGTTGGATTGATCGTAATGGTCGAAACAGCAGAGTTTTTTTCAGTGGCTTTCACATTCTCCTGACCTAACAGCATGCAGTTTTTTTCCTTTGGGGGTTTATAAAAGTTTGTATTTTTGTTCCGCTACTAATGCCTAATGATTTGCCAAAGTTGAGGCAGAGAATTAGGCCATTGCTTCCATTTCTCCAGACTTGTTGACCAAAATATGGGAAGAATTGATTCTGTATATTGGATGTGTGGCATGTAACTGAAGGTGCACATATTGAACATTCATAAGAACAACTAGGTTAGTTTGCCTACAATTTGATGTATGATTTATTATAAATAATTTAAATTAAACTGTTATTATATACCACTGAAACTGGGACATTCTTTTATGGATACTTTGATAAGCATGATGTAACAGCACTGTCATAACATCTATGCTTTCACATGGTAAAACCATGACTGATTCTCAGTAGTTCACATTTTGTTTTATGAGCAAGTATATAAATTAACTGTTATTACTGTATTTTTTCCCTTGTATTTTGAAAAATGATTAAAATTTGGTGCTTACCTTCTATAGAGCAGCAAGCAGTGGACCATTTTCAAAGTTATAGGATACTATGATAAAAAAGTCTGATGCAGATACCACACGACTTCCTTGTATGGAATATTAAGTTATATATATTTTTTGCTGCATTTCGTTTAAATTTATTTCCTCGAATTTCATCAGAGATAGATTTCTCATGCAATTAATTCAGTTCCCACTTTGTGGTAAGGCAGAAATGTATAAAAACTCAAAATTACTTCATTAAAATTTGAAAATGTAGAAAAAATAAAACACCAAATACAGTTAGAAGAACTAAAAAAAATCATTTTTACAATTAAAGTTTCTATGGAAAAACAAGCAATTCAGCTAGCAGGCAACAAGGCAGATTTTTCAGTGCACAAAACTGAAAGTTTGCTTTGGATCTCACTGCACAAAAAAGCATTGAAGTTGCAGAAACTGACTTAATTAACTATTCTGCTATGTTTCAATTGTAAACAAATATCGCTGTTACATTAAAGAAAAACTATGCTTAGCTGCATTTAAACAACTTTTCAATTGTTGATAATTCTACAGCTATTGCATGCAGATTAACTAAAGGCATAAAATCCTTAACTGGAAGATAAGAATAACATAATTCAATAATTTTTAAAGGGAAAAAATAAAAAATGCACGATTTACCAACATATAAGAATTTAAAAAAAAACTGAGCTCACTGAGCCAAGTAACAGAGTAGGTATATATATATATAAAGTAGTAAATCATAAAAACGTGAGACCTAGTTGCTCAAAAACTGCATGCTGAGCTGCAGATTTTAAAATAGATTTATAAGAAAAGGAGAGGTAAAAACTATCTAGGGCCGTAAAGAACATTTGAACTTCATAATTCCTGATATTACATGTAAATATATTTACATACTTTTAGTGTGGCTGATTGCAACGAGAAAGGGAGGTGCACAACTACATGTTATAGCAGTCCTATATACAAAATTTGAACAACTTCTGAGTCTGCTCCTTTTTGAGTTATGCAAGATACATACATACATGCATGCATACATATGTGCATACTTATATATGTACGTACAGACATCACAAACAAGTATCTTCTAAATTCATCTTAAATGAATATTATAATCTGTTTTGGAAAAAAGTCCTTTATTCTGTCCCTACGTACAGATGTCCCACAAAAACATTGTTAAGTTGCATTCAATAGTAGTCAAAACGGATATTTTCATTGAAATATGATAACCGGAATTTTTCATGATTACTGTACTTCCTAGTCTTTTTACGAAACATAAAAATGAAGAGTGTTGAATACTGGGTGTTTATTAAATAAAGTGGAATCAGTTCCTTCAGATTTAAAAATGCAAAAATATCTTCATTTACCAGTAATCCATTTTTCAGTTTTCAGGTTGAATACTGATTGTTTATTAAATAAAAAGATAATCAGGTCCTTCAGAATTCCATAGGAATGACTATAACTTTGTGAGGATTTTCCTAAACTTTCCTGGTTCGATGGATGCCTACTTTCATCGTCAACAGAATAATACACAAGTAACATAAAAATTACCACAGTGCTGATGTTTGGCAATGAGAAGATATTATGATTGTCTGTCATATTAAATATACACCGAAGAGCCATTACATTATAACCACCATGTTAATAACATGTAAGACTACCTTTAGCCCTCAAACTGCCAGCATCTGGTATGGTATTGACTCCATTCAGGTGCTGATAGGTAGTCTGAGGTATCTGGTACCAAGCGCTCACCAACTGGTCCAGCAATGCCTGCACATTGCGATGGGGTAATGGGACAGTATGAATTTGGTTTTCCAAGTGGAACAACAAATGCTGTATTGGATTAATGTCAGGTGAATTTGGAGGCCAAGACATGACTTGAAAGTCACTGGAATGTTCCTCGAATCACTCCCTGATGATTCGACCTTTTTAACATGGTGCATTATCATGTTGGTAAACACCATTCCCCACTGGAAATAGTATTGTCATAAATGGATGAACCTGGTCTGCAACGATGTTCACGTAGGGCACAGATATCAGGTATTGTTCTATGCGGATTATGGGCCCGTAATGTGCTTTATGAAAACATTGCTTACTCCATAATACCCCTGCCACCGGCTTGTCTTCGTCCAACTGTGCAACTACTTTATAGGGGATTTATATGTTTTTGTCATTTTCAGACTAAGTAAATTTATGGTGTAAAAGTCGATATTATTCAGCAGTTTGGAACAAAATTTTGTTAAAATTCTTTTAATAATATGTACACACATTTGAAAACAACCTGACATTATACACTGAAGAGACATTACATTCTGACTATCTGTTTAATATGAAGTAAGGTCACCTTTTGTCCTCAAAACCACTAACACTTGGCATTAACTCAACAAGGGACTAAAATTTTTTTTTTTTTTTTTTTTTTTTTTTTTTTTTTGGCGGGCACTTAGCCGACTTATGCTTGCACCACTAAGGCCGGAAGCGGTGACCACTTTCTTGTGGAATTCGATTGGATTCATGTCAGATGAATTCAAAATGCCAAAACATGACTTGAAATTCACCAAAATATTCTTTGAACCACTCCCTGATGATTTGGCACTTATGATATAGTGCCATAACATTATCTTGTTGGTAAATACCATCATCTGTCAGACTGAATGCACTGTTGCCATGAAGGCATGCATTCAGTCTGCATTAATGCTCACATAGCATACAGATGTCAAGGATTGTTCTATAGGAATGATGGATTGTGATGTACCCCATGAAAACATTGCCCACACCATAATACTACCGTCAGTGCCTTGGATCTGGCCAACTGTGCACATGGATGCCAGGATTTCCTTTAGAAATTGACTTGTTTGCAGTCACCTGCCAATGTGATTGACCAGGAAACAGGATTTGTCAGACCAGGCGCCTTTCTTCCTGTTGCAACTCAACTCTTGCTGAGATCCGATGGCTGAGTGACGTCATCTCGAACTCTGAACTCTCGCTTAGAGATCACGAGAACTCGGAACTGAGAAGTCGCACGCTGCGTCGTGCGAACATTAAAACCTTTCATTATGTAAATATTCTGTAACCGTTTGCGTCTTCATTAAATATGTTTGTGTTAAGAAAGTTTATCATTTATGGATTATCCCTTTCAAGAATTGCAGATAGAGTCCCTGAGAAAAAATGATCCAGTGGCCCTGGCCGAACCCATTGGAACAAGGTAAGCAGTTTTGTTTTACCTTGATTAATTAGTTAGAAGATAAGGATATATAATAATATTGTGGCGCCCAACGTGGTTCCATTGGGTTGAATTTGAACTGAAATTTAATAGATTTTGCTTAAGAAAAAACATGGATTTAGAAAAATTAAAAAAGAAACGATCTGCTATAAGAGCAGTAGTTACGAGGCTGATAAATAAGATAGAAACAGAAATTGCTAATGAGGGGGATAAAAATGTAATTGAAGAAACAGTTGCTCAGTTAATTAGTAAAGAAGAAGAACTAATCTTAGCGGATAATGGTATTGAAACTTTAATTGATGTAACAAATTTAGATTTCAGATGAAGATTTCAGATTCTGATAAATGTCTAGAGAAGAGTATAAAAGTAAAATTATTATTTGGAAATTACGCG